CTTGACTGAGTAGGCGAAAAATGCATGATCAAGAGGGAATTTTTCATACATATATATGTATAGTGATTGGTTTGAGTTTTAGTTTCTAACGTATGAGTTCGAGAATACAAACTTATAAAACTAATTTATTTGATTCAGTTTGAATTCTTCGGTTCATTGGGTTGATCCCAATCAATAAAAATTCTTGCTCTCGGGGTTCCATCAAATTAGATAAAATGTTCTTAATATTTGTTAAATTACATGGATTTATTTTTAAAAAGTTAAATAGTTAAAAAAAATTATTGAATAATTAAGCTAACATTTAAAATGTATTTATAAATTTGATTCTTAAATTATTTGAATCTTTTAAACATGTCTTTTACTTTAACAAGGATTAAAACTGTTTCGTCCAATTTCATGGAATCATAATCCAGGAAAACAATTAAGATGTATTTAAAAATTTAGAAATGTAATTACAATCTTTAAAGGATTAAGATCTGTTTAAAAATTCTAAAACATTCTAAAAACCAACAAATTAATTTTACTTTTTAAAACAGTGATGTAATTTTATTAAACAAAATGTAATTATTTTACATTAAACATATGGTATCATTTCATTAATAAGTTATATGAAGTATAACGGTCTATTGTTTTATCCGAAATTTTCTCGGATCCCTGTTTATCTTTTTTACCCATAGAAGAGACAAACAGCTTGGACAAGAGGACGTATGCACGCATGTATACAAGCATATTTCACTATAATTTTTGTTTTCTCGTCTTAGATTATATATCAATAACTAAATAGAAACTTGATCATGAAACTATAACTAAAAGCTATCTAATTAAAGACAATTACTAGCTATAATTAATAAAGAGTTTAATAAATAATTAATTATAAAAAGTGTCAAATTTCAATTTTTTTAATCATTAAAACATAAACATACCAGGTGAAAGTATGATTTTCTAATCATAAAATGTGGAAGAACGAGCAGTTGGGCAGAAGTGCAAGTCTCCATCTCCATTTTAATCCTGTAGACTGAAGCAAAAAAAGGCAGCAATTCAGATGTCCAAGTCCATTCTTAAATGTACACTCTCAACTGAACCATCTTTTTTTCTCTTCTCTATTTCTGAAAAAAAAAATATATTAAGAAGACAGGCGCAAGAAAGATTGTAACTAATTTGGATACAAAAAAATATAAATTTATTTTAAGCAAAACTAATTTAAGTGAATTTTGTGTATTTAAAAAGATAAAAGTTGAGTGTGAGGAAAAAAAATAAAAATGGATAAAAATAAAAAAAGCAAGTGTATAGAAATGACCGTGAAGAGAGAGAAGGATGGAGAGTGAGTTATGAAAAAAAAAAAAGAAGATAAATATGAAGTAAGGTGAGAGTGATAAGAAGAAGAAGTAAGGTGAGAGTGATAAGAAGAAGAAATAAGTTGAGCGTAAAATAAAGAAAGTTGAGAGAAGAAGAGAATAGTTGAGTAAAAAAAAGAAAAAAGTTAATTATAAAGGTTAAAAATTAAATATAAAAATTGAGGAGAGAGTGTTAAGCATGAAAAGTTAGAGAAGAAAAAAAATTAATAAAGAAAATACAAAAGCCAAAAAAATTATTTTAAACTAATTTTATATAAAATATTTTGTATAAGTGAAAATGGAAGCAAATATAAAGTTGAGTTACAACACGAGAAAATAGGGATTCATTTAATAATTGGGTGTACTCTTCACCCTTTATAAAATTACTGAATAGATTTATAATACGTTTTGCAAATACTCAGACAATCAGAGACATGCTTTGTTTCCTAGTTTCCTTTCTCTGTGTGACCTGGACTCGTCTGTCATGTCTCTTTATATTCTGATAACTGCGAACTGCGAACTGCGAACTGCAACAGAGATGGCACTAACAAAGCCTCTTCCGTCGAATTGCAGCAGAGATGCCATTAACTCAGCCTCTGTGTCCTTTAGCAACTATGCACTTTTGTTTATTTGCATCATCTTCCCGTTTCTCCTGATCGTAAATGCAACCAAAATAATGCAATGTTTCAAAAGATGTTTTTATTAAAACCATTTCTTACATACTCACATCAATTATTCGCATCAAACCCTGTTCGAGAGTTATTCTAAATCTTGCAATTATATTACCAAAATATTCAAGAGATAATATATTTTAAAATTATGAAACATGTGCACAACCAATACTTGTAGTCTAAAATATATATTAATAGATATGTATTTAAGATAACAAACGGTGCATATAATTCACTTAAAAGTAAAAAAGACAAAAACAAACTATTCTCATGGATTTAATAATAATGTAAAGATATTTCCCAGTATAGATTAATTGAATTAAAATATATTTAAAACAAAACGTGTTTTTAAATTTCCTTCCATCTATTTTACTAATCAAAGGTAGATTTGAATGCTTCTTTGTAGTCAGATCTAACAAATGTTGTCTCTTTTGCTGATCAACGATTGAAAGTTTTCTTTCTTTTGTTTTCTCTAATACTTACTTTTATTTTTGTTTGTTGCAAAGTGTAGATTTATGTTGTCACATATATAGTGTCGTCTCTTTATCAATCAGAATACTTGGCTCTGGATTGTTATTGACGTAGAACTATATTTATATATCATCAGTTTTGCCAACCAAAATTTTTAGAATATTGTTTAAAATATTAATAAATAAATAATTTTTATTAAAAATTATGATAAAGACATGTTAACCATTAATTAAAAAATGCTTTATTCCTTGCCTCTTACAGTTGATAATTGGTTTCTTATTTGGATTTGAATTTTGTATATTAAAAAAACATCAAGAAAACTTACTCTTATGTCTGGTGGGTTTATATGTTTTGAATCGGCTGGCTAATATAATTAAAATATAAAGTTGCACAGTAAAGAATACTATTTATTAATATTTTAATATTGAATCAATCTTTATTTTAATAATTTTTATTTTCTAAAATACAGGTTGTTTCAAAAAAAGTTGATCTAAAATACATTTTACATTAGCAATACTTTATTAAGAATGGTTATTTCAAGACAGCAGGATGCCAAATAATTTTTAAATTAAAATTTTGATAATAAACTAAATTTCACATAAAAATAGTTGAGACTCTATTCAAAATTTATTTTAGGAGTAAATTTCAGTGTGTTATTACATATTTTTGAATGTATGTAGAAGTTAAATAATTTTTACTACAGGTGGACAGAAAGTATAGGAGTATCGTATTTAACAAGAGATAGAAGAATAGTATATTAAAAAAATTATTGACATTTTTTTTATGAAATTTAATAATTAAACATATTTTTAATAAGTGTAAAAAAAATCATTGATGTTTTTTTTATAAAATTTAATAAATTAATCATATTTTTAATAAGTGTGTAATAACTTTAAACGACTTATATTTAGAATGCAGAAAGTATTATAATTATTATAAATTAGTATTACACTATATTAAAAACATTTTAATCAGTATAGATGTTATATATTTAAAGTTTTATTTCATAATATATTTTTATTTAAATTTTATTTACTGATACATCGTATCTTTTAAAACTGTGTTAGTTGTTGAAATATAATCAATTTAAATTTGTATTTTTAAAATATTATAACATCTTTTATTTTATTTATGTAAGATGTAACTTCATCGTCACTGTTATTAATTATTATTTATACATCTTAATTTTTAAATGGTTATTTTTTATGTTTTTTAATCTAAACTTTTCCAAATTGATTGTTTTAAATTTTTTTTACGTCAATTTTGCTTGTTTATCTTAATTCTAATTACTCGTAATTTAACATTTATTTTCACAAGAGACTAAGAATTTATGTTTTTAGATATTGACTCTGCAAAGTTCTTTTAGTTATGTAATTGAGTTAGAATTTTACTTTAAACGAAAATTACACTATATCCATTATACTGATTAATGTAACTATGGTTATTGAAGTAAAAAAAAAAACTGTAAATTGTAATTTCGAGATAATGTGATGAAAGTTTTAGATTACCATAATTACAAAAAAACTCAACGTTAATATTTTTGTCACATAGATGTTGTGAAGAGTGCCTTCATTCTCTTGATCTGACAAAACGCATGGTCCCAGGTTGAATAATAGTCCCATGAATTATTAATATGTCCATTTCTTCTTTTTGCAATCACAATAAAGATAGATTTGATAACATGATATTAATATTTTAAAAAATCAAAATTTAAGTGAAAAAAAAGTTTAAGTTTTTAAACGTTAAATAAGATAATTACTCAAATGGCTTTTAAACTGCAAGTGTTAGTGAAGTAGGTTTTATCATTTATTTTGAGTTTTTAATTAAAATATATCTAAAAAATAAATAAATGTTATGCATCTTAAGTTACATGCAGAATAAATAAGATAAAAAACAATATTATAAAAACATATTTTAAATTTATCTAAACTGTTTTATTTGGCAGTAGTATTTGCATTGATTTAGGGTTAAAAAATGACTCATTTATTTGAAAAAAATAAAATAAAAGATGTGTAATATTGTCGTTGGTCCCGTGTCTATCGTCGGTGATCGCTCAATCAATTTTTGTTTTGTTGTGCAAATCAGTGTACCAAATCTGGAACGATACAATCATTCAAATAAATATTAATTTTTTTTAGATCCACCTATTTTTGCTTTTAAATAAATCGTTTTAGATCTATAGCTCATGCCCCATCACTGTTTCCACCTCATTTGACCAACCTTCTTTATGTTTTTTTCCTTCTCCCCTTCTTGTTGGTGTTGCCATACGACTATATTAACTACGATTCATCCTCGTTTTTACAGGAAAAAAACGTATACAATGTGTATAACATTGCTTATTTCAAATATAGCATAATTCAGAAAAAAAAAATGTTCATAAAACATGTACCATTGCTATTATCCATTTTTTTTCAAACAATAAAAAAGGCATGTGAAAGTTCAAATTTCATTCACTAAAGCTGAAATCTTATAAATTTCGAAGTGTTTACACGTGTAAAAAAAGGAGCAATAAGAAGGAAAAAAAAAATAATGAAAATTTGGTATGAAATAGATGAAAATAATTTAGGAAAGAAAAATATTTATTCAATTCACGAGAAGAGAATGAGGACTTCCGCATAGTAGCAGCGCCACTGGCGCAGAAAAATAAAACCTAATTTACCAAATTCAGACACAGAGATTCTCATTCCTGAAGATCTTGTTATGTGTTGTCTCAAATTTATCCTCAAACTCACCTCTGTCTCTGTCTATTTCCAATTCACTGCAATGTGCTCCATTTCCTCACTCAAGCAAAACCATGTCTGAGGTCCTTCAAAGTTCTTCCTTTATTTTTTTTTCTCTTTCATTTTCTCTTTCCTCTTTTGGGGTCTCTTTTCTTTTTGTAAGTTCAAATATTGAATGCATTTTCTCTGTTTTATCATCTGGGATTTTGTTTTTCTTCTTCAAAATGCAATAAATTGTGAAACCTTAGCTGGGTTTTTTTGCTGTGTGTAGATACAATGTGCATTCTCACTGTGACAAAGTGAATTAGATGATTATCCAAATTGGGGTGTGCAAGAGAACATGCTTAGAGCATACATTTTGAATTTTTGGTGATTTTAACCATGACGAGTATTAGTTTTGAAATATCTTGTGTTTTATGGAAGCAAGGAATGACAATGTTATGTGTTTGATGCCTTTCATGCACTGTAATGTCTTGGAGCAGGATATTGCTAAAATGAAGGACTCTTGGTTTTTTGACAATAATTTTAATGGTCTGTCGGATGAGATTTTTGATGATGTCATCAAGTTTTTTGATTTTCCACTGGAAGATGTGGAAACTAATGCTGCGGAAGAAGACTGGGATGCTCAGTTAAAATCCCTTGACGACCCTCGTTTTGATGTTTTTTCGGTATCATCAGCTGGGCTGTGCGCCAAAACTCAAGATGAAAATCCCCAACTTGGGATGGGTTTCTCTGCTTCTGTGAGTATTCTGTCCACAATTATGGTGTATAGGAATTCACACTTTGATGTCTTTTGCTTTTGCCTGCTTAAATTTTTTTTTGACATATTGACCGCCCCTGTCGCAGTAGTTATGTACATGGAAAGTCACGATAATACTTCAATGTAGAGCTCTTATATTTGATGAATTAACTATGTACACGTTTTTATTTTGTGAATTTGACAATTTTTTATGATTTAGGTCCTGTTTTTAAGTTCAGTTACTAGCAATGGCCGTTTTGCATGATATATATAATCTAACACTTTCTGAATGAAATGTTTTTTCCCTGAACTTTCATCACTGACCTTTGATAAGAAATGTTAATTTTGTTACTTAGACAAGTACGAGTTTTTAGGGTTGGAATTTTTTGCTCGAGCTGTGTCTTCTAAGGAAAACTAGATTGGTGTTATCTAGGAATTCTGACAGATTGACAAAAAGTATCAATGTAATCAAAATATCAAATTACTTCTTGGGTAAGAGAAGAGATTTGTAAAGTGAATCTGGTCTGATCTAGGAGAATTGGACAATTGGTCATTGGTGTAAAAACGTGGAAGATACAGCGGTTAGAGATTCAGTTTTCATGCATTTACTTATTAGCCAGGATTATTGGGTACCTTTAATTGCAACGACATGGCTTCAATGTCTACCCATGAGCTGTTTTCTATAAGAGTAGGAAAAGAGGCAATGCTTTGTGGCAGTGCTCTGAATTCCTTGAAAGTTTGCCGCTAATGTCCAATGACATTACTCATTCTTGGCAGTAGCAGGATATCATAACAAAACATGTAATAGTTAACAAATTTGTCAGAAAAGTTGCTTTAATTCATCTGCTACTACCCAAAATGTCCTGGAGATGCTTCCATTATTCTGTCTGTAGTGCTAAGCCTTGTATGCACCTAAAGTTGGAACTATTCAGGATAGAAGGGAAGAGGAAGGTAGGAAGCTGGTGGTAATCTCTTTCCTCTCCCATTCAGGTTGCAGAAACTCCCTCTCTTGTCTGCATTTTTCAAAGGCATTAGAAGGTTTAGAGAAAGAAAATGGAGAGAGAAACGGGAGGGAAAAAAAAAAAAAGAAATAAATGAGTCATCTGATTAAATTTTAGTTATGTGATGGTAAAGAGATTTATCAATTTTCCGTAATGTCAGGTTCTTAAATTCATTTTTTTTTTGCTGTTGTTGTTTCTCTTATATTATATATATATATCTTACTCATCATTTTTATTCAGTTAAATGTGTTTCAAATGTTTGAATGAGGTCTAATTATATGAACTATATAATTAATTTTCAGTTAAGTTGATAATTTTAAAAAATTTAGTGGACACCATATAGGTGTTTAAGTCTCAACAACACCTTGAAACTCATGCGTTATATTTTTCAGGATGTTGCTCTAAGAAAGTGAGAAAGTTCCAGCAACAATGCTCGGAATTAGTAATAAGTATTTAGTTATTTAGAATGCTGAATAGGTGATGTGCATTCATAGAAAGATGTTAAAATTTACTTTCCTAAGAAGTGGATGGTTAGGCAAGTGCATGTCTTGTGTGCTTCTATTTGGTAAATGGTGGGGTACAGTAATAAATAACTGACCCCTTATCCCAAGCTATTCCCTTGTCTGTATGGATTTAAATCATAGAAACTTCTTGTGTCAGCTGGTCAGGTGGCTGATCCAAGTCGGTTGGGGCTTATTATAGATACTGGGCTCTCCTCAGTGGATATTGTTTGATGGCAATGAAACCAAGAACCATTTACAATCAGTGTCCACTGTTGCACTTTCTTAAGAGACAATACTATTATGATATTCATTTTCTAACTGAAATTGCAAAAAAGCACAAGTAGTTTGAGTGACTAAGCCTCTTTGGTCCATGATATGATGATTTGACTTGATCTCATCCTATAGTTGATAACTTTATATGTTTTAGAGCAGTGGAAGTCCTTTCATGTGATTAACTCTCTGGAGTATAGATGAAATGTTGTAAGAAATCACATAGATTCCTCCTTCACTTATTCAAATAACCACATCCACTGGTGTTGCATCTGATTCTTGTTTTTTCTTTTCTATTTTATTTGTTGGCTTGATGATGGTTTGGCATTGCAGTGTAATGGGATTTCCCCAATAAAACAGCTGGCAAAAGCTCCTGGACCAACATACGAAAAAACCATTTCCCACCAGACTGTCTCTTTCAATGGAAAAGATTTGCATCAATTCCAAACCTACAGCCCAGTTTCGGTTTTTGAAAGCAGTAGTTCTTCCTCAGTTGAGAATTCCAACTTCGATGTACCTGTCATCCTGAGAAAGCGTGCTCGAAGTAAACGCATGCGTCCTTCAAGCTCCAATCCTCTATTCTCAACACCTTTCGTCCTCAGTTCACCAGATTTGCTGAAACATCAAAGGACCACTGCCTCTGAATCAAACTTTGAAAAGGATGTTGCTGGCAAACTATCAGACAAAGTAAAAAGGCTGAGGAAAAAGGACATGTCCCTGCTATCAGGTGATGTTGGGACGACGAAATCGTCGTTACTGGAGTCAGTTGCCTTCAGAAAGTGCATGCATTGCGAGGTGACAAAAACCCCGCAATGGAGAGAGGGACCTATGGGTCCCAAGACACTATGCAATGCTTGTGGTGTTCGATACAGGTCTGGCCGCCTCTTTCCCGAATACCGGCCTGCAGCTAGCCCGACATTTGTAGCATCACTGCACTCAAACTGTCACAAGAAGGTGGTAGAGATGAGAAGCAGAACCATGCATGAGGGTGTTAGGGGTTCAGTGTTGGCTTCATCAAATCTCTCTGGAAATTCTGTAGGATAATATTATGTTGGATTCTATATTGAGGAAGAAACGGTGGTGTCCTAAGAAGGATTCTCCTTGTTTGTTGTTTTCTTCATAGTCTAATGTTATATTATATTGGTTAGCATCATTTGTTTAATGTAAATTGATTGGTTAAATAAAAGTTAGTTGCATCATTCAGGAAAACATAGTGTTGAAAATTCGAGAGGTTGAGAATGGCATGTAATTTCATATGCCAGCCAGCACTTTTCTAACTGGATCGCATCATGCATGGTAGTGGGATTAAATGGTTAAAGTAGGGGCTATATAGAACCTTTGCCATTGCTGTTGCATGTGCTGCAAGAACATCAAATCAAGGATCAAATTGAAGCAAGGACATAATGTCACATGGCACAACGGTGTTGTAGTTAAATTAAAAGCACATGCTTGATTTTTCTTCTTTTCTTTTTGTCATGATGCATGGCTTTTCTACGTAAGACCTGCAGGCTGGAATAACAACGCCTCTCTAGTCAGCTTCAGAATTGGTTTGCCCATACCAAAGCCCAATCTCCAGTGTGGGCTGACCTGGGATTGTTTTTGAAAATATTGTTTTTTTTTTTTGTTATTAGGATTATAATATGTATTTCGTAATTTGTATTTTCTATGTTCAATACATTTATACTAAAACGATATATACGTTTCGTTCTCCACTTTTATATTGAATCAAATATTTTCTTTTTCTACTTAACATATTAAACCATTCATTTGAAAGACGTAACGATGATTAACCGTTCATCATGTCTTGAAACTTTCTTCTAGAGTGTATTATTTCTTCTGTTTAAAGTAAGATACTTAGTATGTATGATTATTTTAAAAAATTACAAAAAAATTGCTGAAAGGTAATATAGAAATATCAAAGATTTGCTCCTCTTTTAGGAGGACCCATGTTGGGAATGATTTTACAATTTTTGGATAGAAGCTGCAAGCGCTAACCGGGTCAATCTAATTGCAAAGGGTAGAAGGCCAATAACTTTTAAGATGCAGCCCATAGTTTACCTTACAATACGACTGCAGCCAAACTAGGACACCAAGAAAAATGAGAGCATAACCCAAACATTATAATAGTTGCATAACTCATTAGGATGCAAAAGTAGTCATGCATTTCAAACTCTTTTTTAATGCCTAAAGCAAGGATTAATCTAACACCCAAAGGGTATTAAAAAAAACTCGTGATGAGATCGAGAATGATAAATTTTTCCCCCACAAACTGTTATAGGAACCTCCCCGCCTACTTGATTTTAATTTGAGGAGTTGGTATGATGTTTTTATTCACCGTCAACGAGATTTCAGAATTCAATCTAGCATGCTATTGTAACAAAGTGTTATACATTGTTTTAAATTTTCACAAGCAGGTTGTGCTCAATGCTTACAGGTAAACCATTCAATGAAAAGGGTTCAACAATTGTACGACAATTGATATGATGAATCTGTTGCTCCTGCTAATGCTGCCGTGTTGGTACATCCGTTATTTTAAAGGATTAATGGCAATGAATTATAGTGGTCCTACGTACTCCTAATTAAGGACCTCGTGTGTCTTTGCCTTTTTTTCATTCTCCCATTGAACCCCACTCCCTAATACCTATTTGGCTATTTACATACCCATCTACCTCTATAGTTTAATGGACTTAATATCTGCCCTAACCACTTAGGTTTAACTACAGTTGGTCGACATAATATGGAAGTACATGCATTAACCCAGTGTAAAGGCATTGATTTATTCCATCCTTGTACCATGCCCTTTTCTTTTTTCACACCAACATTCTACCAATTACTTTTCTATATGCGTAACATCCCACTCCTCTTATGGGATAATCAAGGAGCATGGGATGAAACCATTTACTTTTTCTTATTTCTGTTTCTGTTGATAACATTAAATTCGTTATTTGGTGTCAGACTTTTTTCTGCTGGGTATTTCTATTCAATTCAAACGAAATAAATAGTGTTTTAGGTTGAAATGTACTTAATTTAGCTGATCAGTTCCCTTTGTTCGTAATATTAATTTTGTATTGATTATGTCGTTTTCTTATTTGGTTGAGGACAATCAATAAAATTAAAGTGACCAAGAAAAAAGATTACCACTCCATTCTTCTCTTTCATAATAACAAAACTAAAAGTAATGATTGAGTGGGATGTGGTAGCTACTATTCCATTCTATAGGAACACAATTGAGTTGGGGTTGTTAAAGGAAAAAAAAAGAGAGTTGCAAATGCAAATGCAAATGCAAATGCATGAGTGATATAAAGAATTAAACGACTAAAAGTTTATTCAATGGGTAATTAAACCAAGTAGCAATCAAGCAAGCCCCTGATCCGACATTCTAACTCTCCTGAGAACGAAAGGGAAGTGTGTGTCTCTATCTTTCGCATGAGAGAAACGACACGTGCCAAGTGGTAGTGCGATGGGCCAAAGGGCAGTGCCATAATGGACCAGTGACACTGCCACACTCATTGATTATATTTAACGCTAACGCACAGTTTGGTGTAGTATGAAATTATGAATCACAACTCAGAACAAGGGAACGTCCGTTTTGGCGTTGCAACTTTTTTGTCTCTTTACAGGGACGTGAGCCCTGTGTAAGGCTATGTATTGAAGCTCTAAGTGAATTTATATGAATATTATAAAAAAATTATATTTTTATTAAAAAATTACACGTATTTTAAAAAAGAAAAAAATATCAACAGTAAAAACATTTAAAACATAAATTTGAATTACGAGATGTTATTATGGAGACTAAAAAATGAATGCAATGTATCTGAGAAGAATAAAAAGGAGGAAACAGAAAGCTAGTGACATGATTGAAACAGAAAGAGACAAAGATGGTTAAATGGGTGTATTGACTTTGAGTGGTTGTATTGTAGTATTAGGATTACACTGTGAAAAATTACGTTATTGTTAATTGCTATGTCTCACCCGTGACAGAGAGAACACAGCGACAGAGATTCCTGAGAGGGACTGCGTCCACATCATCATCACCATCATCATCATCATCATCATCATTCATGGCCATGCTTCGTGGGCCCCTTCCTTCATCAATGTCCATGCCAACCAGCCACAGCCATAACCCCTCACACGTGTCTAACCCGCCTCCTGCTCGGGGGGGTTGTTGTCTCTTTACTGTTCCTATTTCTATTCCCATCTGTTTCATTCTTCTCACCTTTCATTTATCCTTATTTTTTTAAATTTATCTTTTGATATTATGTATCCTCTCCTTTCTTATTTTATTATTTTATTTTCATTATATATGTTTTTTTTTTTTTTGCTTTTTAATTCATTGTAGTTGCTGCACTTTGTATATACAACATTTACACTTTATATACATCCATTTAGAAATGTTTTAGACTCGAGAGTTGGAGAAAAAAATAAATATTTTTTATAATTTTTTAAAATTATTGAATCTAATCCGACACTTAATCAATATTTTAAAATTAAAAATCTATTAATAAAAATTACTAAATAATAAATAATAAAGTTAAAAAATATAAATTGATATAATTTGAAAGTAAAAACAAAGTGCTTTTTATTAAAAAGCACTCAACATATTTTGGAGGTGAGCATGAAGGCATAGAGGCAATTGGATCGAAAAGAGTGATTGAATCCCTCTGGTAATGGTGGTGTCTCTGAACTAAAGTGTATTCTATTCTGAGTGCAAACAGCATAGAAGACAAGGAGTTGGGTGGGGAATGGGGAACTGGTCCATGGCAAATAATGTGTAGTTGACAAATGGATATGAAACGTGGACATGGCTATGGTTTGATAAAACCATCCACTCAAAGCCTTAACCTAGCAACCTTTTATCATCAATTATCGTTGTCAGTCTCAGAACACATCAGAGGACACGACAGTGACACCCTTTTGCCTATTCTTTTCAATTCTCTATTTTTTTCATCGTGCCATCTTGTTTTGGCCACTCACAAACAATACAATGCCCAAAGTTTTGCTCTTCTGTCAATTTCTCCGGACCCAATACTCGGTGGGTCCGATTTCCCCTTCAACATTCACAATTCCCGTTAACCTAAGTCCACTCTTCCATCTACCTTTTCGGATATACATGCATGTGCATTTTGAAGGAGCATCCCACCTTAATTAGTCATAACCTAACATTCCTTTAAATAATTAAGCAATTTTTTAACGTGTAAGTGTAATTTTTTGTGTAATCAGTTTTATTAAAAATAATAAAACATCATAAAATTAAAAATATTAATAATAATGGACGTTAAAATTTTAAAAAAAGGTATTATTTTCAATTTTTTAAGGTATATCTTTAAATACACATTAAACGACAAATAAATAAAATATCTTGCTAATTAGTATCTTTAAGGTTATCTGATGGAGTTAAAGAAAATATTAAAAAGTGTGTTAAATTATGTTGAAAATTACATAAAATGTACAATATTTTATATATATATAAATTGAGTTCTTTAATAACACTTTTCAATAAATATGAAGAAAATGTTTATACTTTATAGGATTAGGAGGAGACACAGTCTGATTCTGCTTGAAGATTATTTATCAACAAAACTGGTAAATTCCAGAGGGCATGGACCAGTGTTTTTCTTTTTCTTTTATAAGCAAAAGACTGTTTAAGGGGTACTGTTACAATTACACTGAATTACTAATTACTAATTACTAAGCATTGGTGAATGAACGAGATTCTTCACTTCAGAATATGGACGGCAAAAATGGGAGAATTGTTGAGTTATATGGCCTTTGAGCAAAAAAGATAAGAATGAGGGCCAGGGGGGCTGCCTATACAATTCAATTCTTAAATTATTATCCCAACATTTCTACATTCATTGTCCATCATTTCATCTTCGTGTCTTAATTGTCTTGACGTTGTATGTCGGTATCAATGTTGATTCTTAACCAACCTATCCAATTCTTCTTCAACCACATCTTTTTGGCTGATTTATCAAACAACCCTTTTTTACCTTTTGTTTATAATTATCCTGGTCTCTATGTTGTGGCCCCTTCTTAATATAAATACCAAAACATATATTAAGCTTGTTTAAATGACATTTTAACATTATTATTATAACAATTGACCCTGATTGAATAGAATATCATAGATTGATGTTACACGCAGGCTGGTACTATAGATGTTGTCGATTTACATGCAGTAAGACCAAGCCTGATTGATTCCTAAGCTTTTGCCACAGCATATCAGAAAGTTATTCCTTTTAACTCTTACACGATGCTATAGCATATATGACTATGACTATATGCCCTGACAATGCTTGCTGAAATCGGCTATATCGTACGTGCCGGTTGTTTCCCTTTGTAGTTGTACCTATTGCTTTTGTCGTCTTGTGCCTAGTTATAACAGAAACAGGATTATCTTTCCCTTTTCCTGAGATTTTTTTGGCTTTTAATCGAAGCTTTATTGATTTGATATGTCATCATAATAAAAAAACTAATATTATTATACGTGTACAAGCGACATAATTTTGTTGTTCTGATGGACAATGGAATGTTTTCTACACGTATACATGGAATAATTAGGAGACTTATTATAGTGCAAGTAAATTAACAAGTTATTGGCACTATTTCTTTGTTATTTTTTGTATAAAGTCAATAGGCTCTAAAGAGCAATATAAACTTTGTGTGTTCTCACAATTGGTCATAACCAAACGAGGTTTTGGAAAGCCAAATATAGGCATAAGGGTAGCGTTTGATTAGCACAATCATCCAATAGACAAAAGCTACCTTCACCATGTGGACATCTCCATCTTGCTTGTTGTGATCAATGTCCTTTTCAGTTTCAACAAGCGACATGTTCTCATCTTCACCATTTGTTGATCTCACAAAAAAAAAAAAAAACGATTTCATCAATATCTTAGTTTGTTGACAATTTCACAATCGTTTGATTAATTCCAAATGAAAAATATTGAGTTCAAAATTACAGCTTTTGAACATGGGAAGCTTCACAAAGAAAAAGGGTTGGATGAAGGCTAAAAGCGCCTGTGTCAATCATGCTTCGCAGTAGTAATGTAATCCCTTTCATGACAGATAGAACAGGCAAGTGAAAGAACCAGCCCATGCCCAAGACCAAGAGCATGCGCCACACTTTTGTAATGATTTTTTAACGAGCAATAAAAAATACATTAACAGTAAATTTTATTAATTTATAATATTATGTAATTTTAATAAAAAAATTATTTATTTATGATGAGTATTTATGTGGAATGCAATGGAAGTATGGATTAGACACGTTGATTTATGAAGTATATATGAAAGTCCAGCAAAGGGCATCCATTTCCACGAAGGCTCGCTTTCCAATTAACCTCATCCGACAAAAAAATCGCGGGCCCTCACTTCTCTGGCCACCACATTCACAACCCTTTTGACGCGTGTGATATACGCGCTGCTGCCACTGGCAATGTCATGGACTTCTCTTTTTCTGAAATTGTTATTTAGTAAGGTTTTGATATTATCTGGCTAGAGACTTAAGAGGCAGAGAGAGAGAGAGAGAGAGAGAGAGAGAGAGAGAGAGAGAGAGAGAGAGAGAGAGAGAGAGAGAGAGACAAGTTCTCATTTGTGTTGTGTCTATTATTATAATTATGAATTATGAAATGAAAATAGTAAATGTCCAAATGCGTTTTGTCAGGATATGGCTTAACGCTGCCATTGGCATGCAATGTAAAGAATCGACAATTAACGCTGGCAGCAACACAGGTATGTGGTAAGCGGTAACTTTAACTTTACCACTTTTCCTTTTCCCTTAACTCGCCATGTTTTCTGACACCATACCGTCACATAATGCTAATTACCTTTCTTTCTCTCTCTTTCTAAAAAGAATTTACTACCATATAATCAAAAATTACAAATATTTTTTTATTAAATTTATATTAAACCATATTAAAAATTAAAGAATAAGAGATATCAATAGTTTTTTAATTTTTAATTAATATCTTAAAGGTTCTCATTTATTTTATAATTTTTTTATTTTATAAAAACAATTAAATATTTTATTAAAATTTATAAAAATAACCATATGTTATAAAATTATATTTTATTTTAAATTTTTTATCATATTGATTGACTGAATAATCAATTTTAAAATATAACAGAAAGTTTAGTTATTAATTTATTTATAAATTAGTTGGTAAACTTTTATAATTCAAAGATTTATTAAAAAAATTTATATAGAAAAGTCATAAGAAGTATTATATTATTTTTTGTGTTTACTTTTTTTTGGTCTAAAGATAAGACAGAGCCTATTCTTATTTAGTTATTTTTTTTATCTAAAAGTTTAACATAATTTTGTCTTTATAAAAATTACATTCCTTTTAATAAAAGAATTATTTTGAGTTTCTTAGCGAATAAATTTAAGACGACTTTATAACTATTTCATTCCTTTTCTCCTAGTTTATTTATTTATCATTAACAACATTATTAGATTAAATAAATAGACGCAATGTTTGGTTTGGCTGGCTGAGGGAATAGGCTTCGGTTAGTTTATAGGCTCCGGAGAGTGTCTGTGTCGTTGTGTGTGAGAAAGAAAAAAAGTTGTCCCTTTCTTTCTGTCTCTGAGATCTGAGGGAAACCAAAAGATAGAGTTTCAGCTGAGAAAGGTGAGGTCTTTGCGTGATGGAACCTGATTGCCCAAGTAAGAAGAATCTCTTGTAGTAGTAGCTGAACAGTTTCGGATTGATGAAAGTGAAAACTCGCTGTCTCATGTTTCAGATTCTGTGAAATGAAGGGGTTGTTGTGATTGAGTAACCCAGAAGAAAACCAATTGGGGAAATTCAAAGCCTTTGAATGGGAAAAAACATGATGCAGTTCGGAAACTGAGTGTGCAATCAAACTGCTCCCAGGCGTTAAAGTTTCTGTCTTTCTTCTGTGGGGTTGGAAGATTCGACCCCTGAAACTGTGGAAGCAAGCAACCCAACTTTCTACGACACATTTTCACTCTCTTTCTTTTTCTGCGCATAACAAATAACCGAAAGGTAACACAAAGCATTCTCTCTCAACAAATAACATTGTTTTTACTTTTTGTTTTACCTTAAAAGCAAAATCAATGAAGAAGTGACTTATAAGGTTGTGGTTTTGGATCTCTTATGATTTTGTCTCACAGCATTCACTGACATAGAGAGAGAGAGAGAGAGAGAGAGAGAGAGTCATCAGCATCATCACTGTTTAATCGCTTTGCTTAGTGCTGCTACAACAATGAAGGAAGGTGAAAAGAGCTTGGATCCTCAACTATGGCACGCATGTGCGGGTAGCATGGTTCAGATGCCTCTTGTGAACTCTAAAGTGTTCTACTTTCCACAAGGCCATGCTGAACACGCACACTGCAACGTTGATTTCGGAGCTTCCTTGAGGATTCCACCATTCATTCTCTGCCGCGTGGCAGCTGTGAAATTCTTAGCTGACCCAGAAACCGACGAAGTCTTTGCAAGGATAAGGTTGGTTCCTCTGAGGAATTCAGAGCTTGATTATGAAGATGGTGATGCCCTTGATGGTAATGCTTCACAGGGTTCTGAAAAGCCCGCGTCTTTTGCCAAGACGCTGACTCAATCTGATGCCAACAATGGTGGGGGTTTCTCTGTTCCAAGGTACTGTGCTGAAACCATTTTTCCTCGGCTTGATTACTCGGCGGAACCACCGGTTCAGACGGTGATCGCGAAGGATGTTCACGGTGAGGTTTGGAAGTTCAGGCATATTTATAGGGGCACGCCACGGCGACACTTGCTAACAACCGGATGGAGCAGTTTCGTGAACCAGAAGAAACTGGTTGCAGGGGATTCCATTGTTTTTCTGAGGGCTGAAAATGGTGATCTTTGTGTTGGGATTCGGAGGGCTAAGAGGGGGATTGTCGGTGGGTCGGAGGGGCCATCTGGGTGGAGCTCTGGTGGTGGAAGTTGTGGGCTTGGGCCTTATGGGGCCTTCTCTGCTTTTCTGAGGGAGGAGAGCAAGGTTTTGAGGAATGGTTGTGGGAACTCGGGTTTGAGTCCCGGTGGTGGTGGTGGTGGTGTGAGTGGAAGGGCTAAAGTGAGTGCTGAGTCCGTGAGGGAGGCTGTGACATTGGCTGCTACAAATCAGGCATTTGAAGTTGTTTATTATCCGAGAGCAAGTACTCCTGAGTTTTGCATTAGGACTTCGGCTGTGAGGGCTGCTATGAGGATTCAGTGGTGTTCTGGGATGAGGTTTAAGATGCCTTTTGAAACCGAGGATTCTTCTAGGATAAGCTGGTTCATGGGGACCATAGCTTCTGTTCAGGTTGTTGATCCTGTCCGTTGGCCTAATTCCCCTTGGCGACTTCTTCAGGTACTCTCTCACTTGATTTTGTTGTTAGGAACTTAGGACTCTGCAAATTTTGACACTTTGGATTTTTCATTCTGTTTTCAGTAATCTTGTTTCTATTCTATTTGTTGATAACTTAATATTGAACACTATTTTTTGTCAAGGCTCGTGAAAGATTATTGAAAGAGTATGGTTCTGTTAACGTATGCAAGCAAAACAAAATGCTTAGATTGAAGTTGATCTAGTAAAAGGTTTTATAATCATGTAACCACCCCACCCCCTTTCTTTCTTTTTGTGGGGGGTAAAGCTCTACCTTAATTTCCTTGGAATTCTTAATTCATGCATTTTGTGGTTCTATCTATGCTAATACTCTTATTCCATAGTTTGAAATGCCAAATTTTATTTGAGTTGGAAGGGTTGTTTTTTCTTTTAATGCTTGATTGTACCCAAACCATAGTTCAGGTCAGTTTAATCTTGTAGACTAAAGCTTATGATGCAACAACGTTGATTGATATTTGGCAATATCACTTCAGGTTACTTGGGATGAGCCAGATTTGCTACATAATGTGAAGCGCGTAAGCCCATGGTTGGTTGAGTTGGTATCAAACGTGCCAATCATCCATCTTACACCCTTCTCTCCACCAAGAAAGAAGCTTAGGTTTCCACAACATCCAGACTTTCCCCTCGATGTTCAGTTTCCGATACCAACATTTTCGGGCAACCCCGTTGGGTCTAGCACTAGCAGCCCCTTGTGTTGTCTTTCTGATAATGCTCCTGCAGGCATACAGGGAGCCAGGCATGCACAAATTGGAATATCTTTGTCAGATCTTCACCTTAACAATAAACTGCAGTTGGGGTTGCTTCCAACTAATGTCCACCACCTTGATTTACACACTGGGATTTCTAATGGCAACACCACCAACCATGATAAGAGTAAAGAAAGTTTATCATGCTTGCTAACCATGGGAAATTCACACAAGAATTTGGAAAAATCTGATAATGCAAAGAGACACCAATTTTGGCTTTTTGGTCAGCCAATACTCACCGAGCAACAAATTTTTAGAAGCTCTTCTAGTGATATGTCGTCTCAAAATTGCACTGGGAAAAATTCACCTTGTGATGAGAGCAAGGACAAGAAAAACGGGTTCTTTAGTGACTCCCAATCTTCAATTTCACCTTCTACTGCTGAGTTTTCTTGGCAACTTGGTTTGGACAATGGTCATTGCAAGGTTTTCATGGAGTCAGAAGACGTGGGACGGACCCTAGACCTGTCACGGCTTGGTTCTTATGAAGAATTGTACATGAGACTGGCCAAAATGTTTGGAATAGAAAGGTCTGAGATGTTGAGCCACGTACTCTACCGCGACGCAACAGGTGCTATTAAGCAAACTGGAGAAGAACCCTTCAGGTATCCATTTCTTATTTATGTTTTTTTTTTTTCTCTCTCTTTTTAGATGGATATTTTGTAGGGGGGTCATGTTTTTCTTTCTGCCATCTCATTGCAGTGAATTCATGAAGACAGCAAAAAGATTGACAATTCTGATGGATTCAGGCAACAAAGATAACAGAAGGTGCGACCAAAAAAAATAAAAATAAATTTCTATTAGATATGGTCCTTTGATAACTGGGAAAGTGCTACAAAAATGTTGGTATGTGCTAGTGTATGTAACTTTAATCTTTAATGTCTGTTTTACAGGGTGTGGATTACAGGAACACGGAATGCTGAACGTGGATTGGATGCATCAAATAAGGCGGGTCCTCTGAGCATATTTGCATAACATGGTGACTTTTTAAGATCTTAGAAGTTGAAGGACATAGTTATTTCTCTTTTGTTAGGGAGGTAGGATATGAACTGAAAAACTCTGTTTTCTCCAAGTGTAGAAAATAATGATTATTCCTGTAAAATGGGCAATTGTTATTCTAAATATTAATCAAGATTTGGTTACCATTATCGTTTTTACTTTTCTTTAAGTTGCTGATCCACATCATTAGTTCTGTGTGGGGGAAATTGAATATAATCTGGTGTGTGTGGGCACTCAAAAAAACTGTGGTCTGCCATTTGTTGGCGTCATGGTTACTGTATTTGCATGATGTGGGGTAAAACATTTCTCTCCCTGAGAACCATTTATTGGATCTTATACTATGCGCCCGGTTCATTACACGTTAAGTGGCTTATAATCGATTCTAAACACACGATTGTTGTATCAAACAGATCCTCTCTGCATCATTTGATCCCGGTTCATTTAATTAGCTAGTAGCGCGTTAATTACAGCATTAGATATACAATTAATGTGAGATGATAATCACACGTGGAAACTAAAAATACGTTACTTTAAGGATCAAAGAACTTCTAACAGTGAAATTAATCATTTTGGGCCCTGCAATTTCGTTGTCCGCTATAGCCTGGTGGTGGATAGTGTCACAAGACCAAGTTCTCAACTTGAGCTAAACTTGATGATACATGAATTATATTTAGCGCTTGGATGATATGCAAACTATATTTAGGTTAGGATGGACCAACTCAATTACAAGCCAAAAAATTACGTCAATTCTAATTTCATTAATACTCCAATCTCCAATGATTAAGTGTTTTTATAAAATCTAATTTTAAAAACAATAATATATATATATAATGGACTAACCCAAATACAATCCTGAAATACATCAAATCAAAATTTCAAATTCAAACTAGAATTAAACTCCCTACCACCGCCATTTCACAACCCTCGAACAACGTTTTACGCTATTATGGTTTTCAAGGTTTCGTGCTGAAGTTTTTTCTGCATCTATCTTTCCCCCTTACTATGAGGATTCATTGAATGATAGGTAGTACGAAGAACAGATTAAACGTCTTGTCGAGGCTTCGTTGTTTGCTAATAATGTTAGAATAAGTCCACAGGGGGATCCATGCGATTATACACATTCTGGTTTTTGAAATTGTATTCTAGTTTAGGATTTGACTTAATTATTCGCATTCGGTTTCTAGCTTTTGTCTGTATTTCGATTCTTTCGTATTGGCGAGTAACAAAATATGATTATAGAAAAAATAGTATTTATCAAATATAATTAATGAATCTGAACTAATTATAATGAGTTTTTATTTAATAAAAATTATGTACCTCTCATCATCATAATTATGTAACTCAACAACAGGGATTCAATTCCTTTTGTTGCTGTTAAGGTCTCAATTTTTGGATGATAAATATGAGGCATGCTACTATCTTGAGTTCCAATTAATTTGTTAAGTAATAGATGGAACTGTCTCCTCTACCATCTCTCGATAATGAAATTAATAAATGATAAATAAAGGGATATGGTAAAAATGTAAAAGGAAAAGTTTGTCCCTTGTGAAATTAGAGTGAGGTTACGTGAGTTTGTTTTGGCACTTGGAAGTTAGCACAAACCCGCAAGCTACTCACTTTTGGTGGAATATGTGGGCAATATACCTAAACCCCACGTTGAATTCTTTGACTAGTGCCTCCTAAATTTTCAGATTCAACCAAAGCCAAGAAACTGGAACCATCCTTTTATGTTTTCAATGTTCGTATTCAATCATAAACTTAAACGGTCATCATGTAGGTCCCCTTCTCCTCCTGTCAACAGTGTCTTCTCCCTTTATTGAAGCAAATATTAAAAGATCATCCAACAATTGTCGACGTTATGTTTATGTTTCTATAATAAGGTTTGGTTTAACCAGCAAGACATTATTATAATTAATGGTAGGTTAGCTCCCATCCCCATCACTGATTAGGAGTCAATTTTATAATCATCTTGCAGTTTTTCAAAGAAAAACTTGAAAATATCATTGAACCTAGTCCATGCCAGTAGTATGTATGTTGGTGCCATGGTGGCAAACTGATGAATAATCTTACCGTTTTGGGGTATTTTGATGTGAAGTGTGAACAGATGTTTGGACAAAATTAACAAGTCGTATATATAAATGGTGAGGAGCAAAATTAATTTTGTTACCTCAAATAGTGAAAATGCGTGTTGTGCAAGAGTTGATGAATAATCTTACCGTGTTTGGGTAATTTGGTGCAAAGTGTGAACAGATGTGCAAAGTTGAATGTTCAGCAATAAGTGAATAAATTTATTTTAACCTCTCAAATTGCATGCAGTGGACATTTTAATATTTTATAAAAATTTTATCTTAATTCTTGACTTATAAAAAATAAAGTAAAAGTTATTAAAATAAGTATTCATCTTTACACAGTCAAATATTCATCTTGATTTTGTTAATTATTGTCCTAAGTATAATATTTTTAGAAGTAAATATTAAAATGTATAGTATTTAATATCATAAACATATAAGTCTTATTAATTGTGAAATGGTTAATAGGATGAGAAATAATGAATGATTCAAGTGATGAAGATATTGAGGGTGTTTGGGTTCACAATAGAGAGGTTGGGATCTGAAAAGATATTGTTGTGGCAAATTGACGGGCAAAGTGGGTTTGGTCTGAAATGTGAAGTCGAAAAGAGAGGAATAAAAAGTGTGTATTTGCAATTGCAATTGCATGGGGTTTGTGAATTGAATCCCATTATTACGTGAGACGTTGAAGACTGAGGGTAGACAGGTCCATCCCAATCCCAAGAAAAGCACCTTAACAAAGCATTTTGCTGAGTCTTAAGCCAAAGCCACACGTGGGAGTGGGACACACCTGACCAATAGCAAAGCAAGATATGTATGAGAATTGAGTGTCATTATGAATAACGCAATTCTAAATTTGACACAAACAATTTCACGTGTTATGTCACCGTTTTGATGGCCGAGCCTTTTCCTCATTTTTGTGACGTTTTGGGATTTGACTCCACCCTCCCCCTCCCGCCTACTACACCATTTTACTCCAAATCAATATTAAGGTCCTCAAATTGCCATTGTGAACCATAATTGAGTACACATTGACACTTATCACCTAAAATTGTTATGTTAACTTGGCTTCGTTTAGTCACACATGAATTTAAGTGCCACTTATGTCACTTAAATGGGGATCACTGTCAAATTGCAAATTGCAGAAATCTATGGATGGAAATTTAGCTAAACATTGTGAGTCAAATGGTCAAAGGGGCAGGCATGGGAAGTGTGTGTCCAAATAAGAGGATAATTATGGAGGCATGCCAACGCACAATTTGCAAAGACAAAGAAAACTCGTTCCGAGGAGTTGAATTCCCTTGTTTTCAGTTCCAAAACCGTAGTTTCTGGAACTTGTTTTTTTTGCATTGGGATAGAGAGGCATCTTCTCTTTTCATCATCTCACATTTCAGTGATGAAAATCATGTCTCCCTCCTTCTTCTTTTCCTAAGTAACAATTAATTTCCTTTCTGTAGTTTTATCTACCCAAGGATAATTTCGAATATTATTTACCAAATTTTGTAGATTAAGGTAATATTTTCAAATACAATTGTTATTTATCATAAATTTATTATTTCTCAAATTTCATAATCTTTCCTGATACCAAAGCATATTAGATTAAGAATAATATTTTTTGTTTATTTTTTTACTGTATAAACTCTTGTTTGCATTCATCAGAATACAATAATTAAAAAATTAGTATATAAGTAATTTTTTCATTCTAAAAGTTTTTCTTATAAGTAATTTATTAGTGTTCTTCGTGCCCTCGCCACTATATGGAGAACCATTGATGCCACGATATCATTAACTTGATATGGGATGTAAATTTCATACTATTATTATACTCAATACTTTTTTATATTATTTTTAATAAAAAAATTAGAATACTATTCTCAGATGGAAAGGTAATGAGGATAAATTTCTCATAATACAGTGCAACATTAGTGCAAGTCTCTCCCAATTTATTTTTTCTTTCCAAGAACCGATCTCAATATAAAACCAAAGATCACATGTCTAGACTCTTGGTTATCATTAATCAATCTGCTTTTTGTAGTATATACAAAGCCATTATGATTTATGATCGTGGTGATTACTGTTGTTATTCTCATCAATACAAATGTTTAGTTGATTTAATATGCTAAATCAGAAAGTGAATATATCTCAACGTGGAAAGGTGTATCGGAATTTAGAAAACATAATCATATAAAAATCGCAATTCCCACGTAAGCAGTCTAATCAACCAGTTAAAAAGACGTAACGATAAGCATTAAATAGAAACCATTTCTTAGAAATACTGGATTGGGAGAAAGAAAAAACGTAACATATATAATAAGAACGAATTGAAAGTGCAAAACATAGGGTTAGTCAAATGTGTAACGAATGCATCATGCATGCAATGATCCCATTTGTCAACAGAAATGATGGAAGTTGTGTTAGTCAAATGTGATATTATGAAGAACATGAATAGTTTTGGGACCCCAAAGCGTCAAAGCTTGGAATAATAACCCTACTCAGATCCCTCTCCCATTTTGGAATTGGACATAAAGCATTAAAGTTCTTCTTCATCTTCGTCAGGTCAGGTACTCATAACGGAATTATAATTATTTCATATTTGACACCAAAAGTTAAGATTGAGTTTAAGCACTTATAAATTATAAAATTTATTAAATTTTCACATTTTAATGATAAATAATAATTTTTAATAAAAACTTATTACTTTTAGTTAATTATTCTTAGAGTAACAGTTTTTTCTTTCACTCAGATTGTAATGATTTAGAGTTTCAGAAAAGAATTATCTGTGCCTACAATAGGGTTAGGCCCATGGGCCAAGGCTTCCTTTTTAATATAGTTTTTATTTTCAAATGTACGAAATTATAACTAAAGTTTGTTAAATAAGAAGTAAAACTTACATATATGTATTATATTCAATAAATTTAAAGTAATAATAAAAAATAATTAAAAATATGATAGTAAAATGTCTCTTCGAGGACTAATTGTAGACTGTAATTATGTTAAATTATTTTAAAAAGTCAGCAAATGCTCTTTCGCACAACATAACTGGAACAATTTTTATTATGAGGGTGTTTGTCAGATGTTTATTATTAAAAAAGTAAAAATAATCATACCCGAGATTTTGATTGCTTCAGTTCTATTATCCCTTCAACTTTATTGCGTCATATAAAACACATTCTTAGAATTGCTTCTATAAATTTTACTGTTAATAAATCTCCCAAAGGACATAAATTAACAATAGAACCCTTCATTAATTTATGGAAAAGTAGGCATGAGACGGTGAACTATGAAATATACACATTAGTAGCAAAACTTAATTAAAAAGCGTTGCCATGCATGTATACATCGTGACATTGTTCAGTTGAAGAATTATAATCCATATATAGTAATCAGTTACAATAGAGCTCGAGGCCCATGCCATCGTGAATCTCGTATTCTGAAAGTGATGTGATCTTTGTAAATTGAGTACCATTTCTGAATGCGAATCTTGTCGGGCCGGGTACCCGTTTGGGCCTCCACAAGTTTCTTCAAGTCACCGATGGTGTCATCTTCGTTGCACTTCACACGAACCTTCTTCCCAAGTCTGTCGTCGAGCACCACTTCTATCATCTTCTCCTTTTTTTATTCTCTTCTTCTTCAGTATTCACATTTTAACTTGCTTCAGAGCCTTCTAGTTCTCTTTGCTCATTGGCCCAGCCTTAACTTTGGGCTGGAACCTTCTAGTGCATGTCACATCCTTCCATTCTCTTGGGAGAACAAATTATATTTTAAAACATTAAGATTGTGTGTAAATTTAAGGGAAAATTTTGTTTATATAACGGGATCTTTTATATAATGACACAGCTTTAACTATCCATATATAAATTAGAAATATATTTTGTATTGTATTGTATTTTTTTAAAAAAGAATTTAAATTGATCTTCTCTCTGAAAATGCAACCCTTTTATTTTAATCACAACCCTTATTGAAAACATTTGCTTTATTTGAGAAAAATTAAAAACATTTATGGTTATTTTAAAATTAAAAAAAAATTGATCTTTAAATGGAATAATATTCGTGAGTTGTATTTAACTAGCTTGAGGTGGTGCCAACTTGTTTATAAAATTAGATTACTTCGACAATTATTATATCCAACACAAGTCAAAGAACTGCTGATTTTTTTAATGTATATTGCAAGACAGTTTTACAAATAATATAGAAATTTGTTAATAATAAAAAATATTTAATACAATAAAAATTTTTTAAAATTACTTTTTGTTTGATAATTTGCACATTTATTTCCGGTCCTATATTTCTACACTCATTACAAATTACAATGCAGGAGAATGAATGAATCAATAAACAAATAGTTATTCAATTTAGTGGCATTAAACTCGACTTAGTTATATCAAGTTATGGGGTCATTAAACATAAACTTTAAATTTGCCTTTTACGTCATTTTAGTTATTTGACTTTGCTTTTATGAGCTTTCAGCCGTTTCTTTCTTTTACTATAGGTAGAATTATTTTTTTTATAATACAAATTGACAAATAATTAAACGGGGAAACTTTGGATTATAAAAATATAAATCGCTTTCAGAACGAAAGGGATGCAGATAAACTTTTTTTGGTGAATTTTCACTTGACCAAAGTTTGCTGGCCGATACCCAGCATCCTCAAAATGAATTCAGAAATAAGCCATCTAGCGAACATTTACCGACAGCCGCATACCCGATGGCATTGGCATCGTCAATGTTGAACCCATTATGAAGAGCAGAATAGATTCGATAAATGTGGGAAACACCATAAATCACTTACAGGAAGAGGCAAAACTTGAAATAATAAACAAGCTTAATATCTAATAAGCGTGAGCAACAGAAATAGGACAATTGAAACAAAAATACAGTACATTAATTTGCTGCATACGCCCCTGCGAACCAAGAATAGGGTCCATGGTGATGGTCTAACTTTTCATACAAACAGAAACAAGATTTACTATTATGTCCATCACTCGAGAACAGCAACCTCCTGGTCAACCCTCCAGTAATTTGCATCATTGAATTCCTTCATTCCAGGACCACCCTCCTCGGAATTTTCCTTTTCCGGCACTTTAGAAACCATGTTTCTTTTCAACGGCCCTGCTTCCCCAACTATCCCTTCTTTCAGAGCCTGTTCCATAGCCTTCTCGGTACCTTCTAATTCTACCCCTACAAATTCCACATCCTCTTCGAAGAGCGAAGGTACTGCTACTGATTTTTGACTGGAGTCAACACCCCCCTCAACTGAATCTATAGGTGACCCATTTGATGTAACAGATTCCCCATTTGAAGGAGAACTGGGATCAGGGCTACCTATTTGAGATTTAGTAGAAAGGTTGCTACCAGAATCATCATGATCTATAAATGGATTCATGCTTGAGCCGGCATCTTGTATATCTGATGGTTCGCCCCATCCCACCCAATCAGGCAAAGGCCTATCACCAAACAACTCCTCATTGTCCGATGCCTCAAACCTGAAGAAGCCCATATCATGTGATGCGCTTGCCTTTTCCCCCTCAAAGTTCAAAGTGCCTCCATTCATGGAATCGCTGCCAGTTAATCCACTGAAGAAGTTTGTGCTTGAGCTTGATGTACCATTCAGATTGTTTTTGCTTTCATCTAATTCTTCATCCTCTCCAACGACTACCTCATCATCACTACTATTACCACCATTTGTAGCACCATTCAAGTTTATCTCATCCATCATCTCTGATGAAGTTGTGCCTCCAGCCGCATCACCAATTCTGTCGTCTTGGAATGCAAACCAGTTGGAGTTTGTAAACAGACTACTACCAAAAAAACAAAATCTTATATTAACATTAAAATGTTGAATTAAACAAAGAAACAGAAATGGATTTCCATGAAATTCCAGTATTGTCCGGACAACAGAAGTAGGAGGATTAATAATGCTTTTGAATGTTTTCTAATTTTATCCATACAACATAGAAAGCAAAAACATAAACATCCATAAGGAGATTGTGATTTGTGCATAATACAACAATCATATGTTTCCACTTCCCCCTCATCAAACTTTTTTTACAATAATTTAAACTCTGTACATCTGCCAAATTCAATATCTAAGCATTATGTTCAAATTAACTATATTGCAACAATTTCCTGACCTTGTGTTCCATCCGCTGAAAGTCTGAACGCACCGTCACTTGATGCTGTCTAACTTTATCACACTAATTTTTGTATATGATGGGGGAGAATAGAATAGGGAGGCCAGGAGACAAAGACACACCATGAAGCAGAAAACCAAAACCGAAATATCTTCATGGATTAAAGAAATGAAAGCAAATTCTATTTCTATCACAGGATGTGAACATTTTTAATCAATTACTGTTGTCCTGACAGTAAAAGGAAAAGGTGAGGATCAAATGAAAATAAAGAAATGCCCTATTAGAGGATCTATAAGCAATTCACAAAGTAAAGAAGGCTGATAGAGTACGTTGTTTCTTCAATATCTAGTGCATATCTCATTCTTCCTTAGTTACATTAGAAGGATAGTTCTCTCTCTAATCTCAACTTGATCCTACAAGGCCTATAGTAATATATCATCTTGAAACGTGCATAAAAAATTAAGGACAGAACAGGATACCATGTGGAAGATGAAGTATACAGGACAACTTAGAAACGTATAGGTCATCATAGCACACTAGTAATATTATATCACTTATTTTATTTATCAAATACACCGGTAAATAATGTGTACACACAAAAAAACTTTGCTTAAAATTTAGCCATACTGCTTGATTAATCCGCGTGAGAGATTCATCCTAACAAAATTACAAGTTATGTGACTAAATAAATAGACTCACCTCCCTTGGTCATCACTGAGTCTGAGGGATGATATGACTACTTGAGCAGAGTCGTCATCAAAATAGACATCCTGCAGTTCATACAGCAGAAAAGATTAGTAGATATTTGGTTGACAATTTGACTACATCCCTATATGACATATAAGCTAGACTGGTTCTCAAAATTCCTAAAATCAACCACATTAAATTGCAACGGTTACCAAAAAATAATCTACTACCTCATCATCTCGATCATGGTTGCCACGTTCCTGCAACCAAGCCACAATCAAAACATTACTCAAGCATTTAGTTGCAGCGCCTAACCCAAAAGGCAAACTAGAGAAACTAAAAAGGGACAAGGATTTAAAAATGCACAAATGCACACAAATGGGCAACTATACATGTAGAGGTAAAGAGGGGCCAACAAGTACAAACCTCTTCGTTATCCTCATTCCCATAAATTTTATATCTAAAAGCTTGGCTCAAATTATTTGCTAAAGCTGTAACATCATAGTCCCTGTCATGGAGGTCATCATCATCACTATCCCTCATCCTATCATGTAAAGCAGTTGGTCGTCTGCACAGGAAAAGGAAAAATAAAGAGATAAATCAAAATGAGAAAAAACCCTACATAACAAACTGAACATATAACCAAAACATAAAAGACACAACTGGAGATCACAACTTCACTTAATATGTTATATAATGAAGGAAAAAGTGCATGACAGATCGCAATTGAACTAATAGCATTACAGGTTTATCATAAAATGTTGACCAAAACGGCATATACTCAGCATTACAATACCTAATTGGCTTCCCTTCAACATAGTCAAAATCGTATTATAATACACTTACATCCACCGCTCTATATTTTTAATGTCATTCCCTAAAATCAAGTCCTCCAACCTTTACTACAAGGAATGGTCTTACCCGCAAGCCCAGCGGTGAACATTCTCAACCATGTTACGCTCCTGCAGAACTGTAGTTTGCCATTCATTCCACTCACTATTTTCCTGTAGATGTTAAACATATCAGGTTGAAGTATTTAAATAAAAGTTTTATCCCAAAATAATTTAAAGATTTAAGTTCAGCTTCATGGTCTTATATGCAAGAATAATTTTTTTTTCCCAAAGCTTGGTTAGCTTGTTCATGATTTCATAAGAAAAAAAAAATCAATATATGGGGAAAAAACAGCAAAGAAATATTCATCATAGAGGGAGAGGAAGTCCTACAAGAACAAGCCAAAATGATTTTTGCCCATTGAATAATGGGTACCAAACAATAGCAATAGCTCAGCAGAAAAACCCTCTCCAGAATCTAACTTCTAAACTAAAATGTTAATGTCAGTGTTATTTAAAAAATTACTATCTGAATTAGGTACATCAAGGACACAAATCCTTGATGAAAAGCAAAACAATGGACTTTAGCGGAAGAATCCAAAAGCTTCTTTTACATATGTCTGAGCAAATTTACAAGTCTCTAACAAGGTTCTTAAAGGGTAGAGGCATAATTTACGTCTTTATAGATTTATACAAACAGTAAAAAATACTGTGAAAACTATGAATCTTTCCTGAAGCTATATATATGTTACACAGCTAACCTGAAGACATGTCAGTATGTGGCTACGATTATGTGCCAAGTGAACAAGTTTGTTAACAATTCGAGTAATATGCCCAATGTATCCTGCTCTTGGTGCCTGTTTTCCTGCAGCAGGTACAGTTGGCTGCACAATAACACAATTTAGCGAAGCAGTTCTAATAATCTTGATGACAGTATGGAGATGAAATATTATGCAATTCATATAAGTTCCATTGCTTCAGTCAAGTATGTTTTCTTTCCCTTTGTAATTCAATACAACATTGAAGAAAATCAAGATAACTTGATCTCAACAATTATACAATATACAGTAGTGACCAAGACACAACATCCAATATATCAGTTTGAAGCATCAACTTACCAGATTTCTGTCAGCAGAGAGAATAGAACGTTTGTCTGCTTGAAGAATTCTCCCAATTAAATCACAGTCTCGAAGAAGATGATCGACAATGGCATCAGTTTTGCTCTCCAAACATGATACTATGATACTTTCTACATGATGGTGTAATGAGTTGTTATATGGATACCTGTATTAGCAGGATATTATAAGCAATAAACCAATATTCACACAGATCTGGAAAAGATATCAAGATTTCTCTAAACACATACAACTCTGCCAAGCAAAAAGAAAATTAATTACTTACTCGAAGAAAAGGTCAATGACTCGTTGAACGGTTCCTGTATTGACCATTTCTTTTTCTGCCACTTCATTTCCAGTTTTTAGAATGACTGCAATGAACTCGACAATCTGAAAATAAATTGCAGACAGATCAGAAAAATAACATATTCAAAGCTCATGTTAGTGATACCTTGCATAGGAATACAACAATTGCATAAAGAAGTTTGAAGTACTCAGCAAGGTGAATTTTGGGACAAGAACTCAAGCTTAACTGGCCAAACTGGAACCTAAATTTGGGAACTACTGAGGTACACATCTTTTTTCAGGGGCAAGTTGTCCAGCATTCATTACATGTTGATTATGTTTAATGAAGTTGCAAACATTTATGATAAAATCAACAGCCAAGAAATGTTTGACAATTCAGTGTAGGTACGATACTGCCTAGATTATGGGTACCACAGCAACTCCCCTAGATTTGGTGGGATGGCCATAACAACTAACCTTTAATCGATGCTTCCCAAGTGGAGGTCTCAATTCTCCATATGTTGTAGGCAATACTTTTTCATCGGATGATACATTTAAAAGCATAAGCAATTCACCTGCAGACATGAAAAGCAACCTTATCAATGATGTGATATGGACACTTGAACAAAATTTAACAGATTTTGTACCAAACAAAACAAGATGCGGCACTACCATTTCTTGAATCTTCAATCATGGAATAATCACAAGACACAAATAGCACATAAGACGCACTACCACTCAAACAACCTCAACAGAACTGAAGTGCACACCATATTAACCAATAGTACTTTGATATTTATTGATGACTACAGGAATTGGGAAGGGAGAGACGCAGGGAGCTATAACATTAGGAAACATTCTGGCAAAAAAGAACATATGAACTACAAAGTCTCATATTTACATGTTCATAAAATAGAACTTAAAGCACAGCATATTACAACCTGGTTTATTGGTAGACCTCCAGGAATCTTACTTCTAGAAGTACTCATCCCCTTTAAATAGCCAAACTTCTGATTACTCTAATATTGTTAAAAAAGCATAACTGCCCAACAATCTATATTTAGCTGGACAGAGAAAAGAAAAATAATTATTATAATTTACTATATCAAAAGAAACTCATAAATTCTCAAACAGCAACCTACAAAACCCATAGCATTCATAGCATTACAGAGATAGTATAAAACCCAGTAAACTAAATACATCATACCCCTTCTTGAAGGGCTGCTCTGTATACTTCCGAGGTGGGAACACCTACTTAATATTTTTTTTTATCTTTAATTACAAAATCAAATTAGATACACAACAGACTTCAAAATTAAAAACCCTGTGAACTTTTAATCATAATTTCAGCATCCTATAGTATTCCACAACATTCTGAATAATAAGTAATATAACTCAACCGAAAACCATGATAATGAGTAAAGGATGAACCTAAAAAACATGAATTCTGACTTACTAAGTTTAGGGAGCATCGCACCAATAGTCTCTGGGTTTACAGGAATTGGTGGCTCATACATGTGTTGACTTCGGAATGAATGAAAAAGGGGAGATGATATAGCAGATCTTTTGGGATCCAACAAAGAAATACACACTGAAAGTGAATTTACAAGGCTAGAATTTGATTGGGAATCTTCCAAAGCATGATCCAAAATTTTTGCAACAAAACTGCATATTTAAACATATATGTAATAGTTATTTCAGAGGTACATATTAGAAGAGAAAAAAAAACATAAAACCATGGATTACAGACCTTGGGCTTGAAAGTTTAATTGCTAAAGTAGAGGAGGGATTTCGAGTTATTGTACATAATGTTTCAGCTGCATTGGCATGAACTTCAGGAGGACTCTGGTTTAAATAGGGAGAAAAAATAGTCAGATAATTTGCAACAAAAGACAAGGCAGCAAAGAGCATACAAATTCAAACACCTAAACAAAATTGGATCACTTAATCAAACTTCATTAATTGCATCTTTATGTCACAGGAAAATAAAGGTGTTGGGATGAACTCAAAGCACCATTAGCAATCATTAGTGTGGTCAATGTCAAGCTTGTAGGATACAAAATCCCCAAATCAGACGAGAGTGTGTAGCTTCATGTAATCTCATTCATCACATCCAAAAGGCATAAACCTAATCACACGCGAAACAAGTAAAAGCTGGCTAAAGGAACATAAACCTGGGTAGATGCTTCACTTACCGATGGATTCAATTTATCAACAATCATCTCAAGCAGATTGCTCTCAGCCAACCATTGCATCACATCTATAAAATTGGGATACACGTGGTCATCAGCACCTACTAATCGAACCAAAACCTGTCAAAGAAGTTATCTCAGAATCCATTCTAAACAATCAGCAAGATCTCAAATTTGTTACAATATCTACTGAAAAGATAAAATTTTACCTCCATAATGGATGTAATTCCTATCAAATCAACCAGTTGGCAAAAAACATTCTGATGGGCCTGCAGAGTTTACACAAATTATGACTGAAAGACTTCACAAGGAACACGCACTAACTGTTGTAACTTGTATAGACTAAAAATTGTTTCACATAAAGGTGCGGGAAATAAACACGGTTCGATAGCCAGTCAAGCTTTGTTTTTCTCCATAAAATTGTAAAATATCAAATTGAATAAGCAATCTGCTCTTGTACCAGAGGAGCACATTGTTTTGCTTACTTGAACATAACTCATAAGCTGCACTGTCTTTCGAATCATTAGGCAAACAACAACCTGTAAAATGGTATAGAAACAGGCAAAAAAATAGGTGATTTTAATATAATCACATAGGTCATATTGACAAAAATTCCACACAAACTACAGTTCCAATTTCATCTAACATGTACCTTGCTAAAGTAGCCAGCCAGTAAGGTACTATGTGAACGATTAGGCTCCAAAAAGGAGAATAATAAGTTCATCAGCTGAAATTACAAGAATGCAAAGGGGAAATCAAATAATCAATACAAGTAAGACATTACTATAGGAACTGAAACTAAAAATAAAGTGTCACAAACAGAATGAAGTACAAACCTCTTCTTCATCCACCAAGGTCTTCAAAATGACATCGATTTCACAAGTAAAAATCTCGCAGGCAATGAATGGAAACCTAAATTACAGACAAACAATCAGATGGTTACAAGAAAGTTGAAACATCTAATAAGAAGTTCTTTTGCAACAAATTTTCAGTTACAGCTGCATACTTGAATGCCCGTTTATTTTCAGCATCTTCCGGTGGTTCTTCAATGATGTATCGTAACAATTGCTCAACCTGAGCCTGATCTCTCAAACTAAAAGAGAAAAAAAGTAGCAAATTGTCAATTAACTTTCTGCTGAATCATCTATATGATTGTCTATCCAGTCCATGCTTTTATGTATTTCCGTTTACTTGAAATTATCACCAAAAATAGAAACTGGACAAAACAAAAACAAAAAAAAAAAGGCACAAAGGAGATTGTTAGGAGAATGAAAGACTCCATTGATTCAACTTGAACAGATACATACAAGTTGATTAGACGACTGTTTAAGGCCTTGCATTCTTGGATCACTTCCTCTTCATCCAGCAGCTCTTCCAAAGTGAAATTCTCCTTGTCTAATATTGCCTCCACCTGCACAACACCAGAAATGAAAAAATGCACGACAATGATTACAAAAGGAGGGCAGGGAGGAAGCAAGAAAATAAGCCACAAAATATTAAGCTACTCGAGATTTTGATTCAATTAAGTTGTTCTCTCAAAACTTTTGGCTATCAATTACAAGGCATTCAACCACAAAATTCCACTATAAGCATGCATCATCATACCTGTCAAACGAAATACTGAAACTAAACCATGTTGTCACCAACTGACAGTGACTTCAAATTCAAGTTATCAAAAAAGGTAAAGCAAAAATTTCAAATGAATCACGGGTTACCTCTTTCACAAATTCAAACTAAATTCTCTTTGCTTTACCTAAAGCTGGAGTGTTTTTCATTGATTATCACGAAGACCTTTAAAGTACCCATTGCTGAGAAAGCAATACAAAGAGGCAAATTACAGAAAATCATTAACTAATTAACCAGCTAAAATATATCAATTGTCTTGCCCCGAATTGAGATCCTCCTAACAGAGTAAGCCACCAAAGTAGATTCGTCAAAAACAAACAAGTGATTAAAAAAGTCGCAGTAATACAAAACTCAAAAGCGTGGAAACCTAGAATAGCGAAGGGCGATGGGTGAAATGGAAATTAAGAAAACAAGGCGCGGTTAACAGAGTAAACAACAATTAATTAATCGGTAATTAAAAAAGGAAAAGGAAAAAAAAAGAGAAAGCAATGGTAAATAACAGGGAAACTAACTGATGCTGAAATTATTGAGGGAGAGAGAGAAGAATTGAAGTGCAGTATAAATGCAGCAGAATTGACGCAGTTAAAGTGAAATAGGAAAAGGAAGAAAACTCACAGGGGAGGAAGCAGAGAGAGAAGCGAGCTTCCAGAACATGTGGGAGGAAGCAGAAGGTGGCCGGATCTGTACAGAGAAATCTAGGTGTAGGTGAAGGTGTAAACCCTAATTTTGTGGGGGAGAGATCGAAAAGAAACCGAGCCGTGAAGATCGATAGAGGAAAAGACAGAGAGAGAAAGCCCCAAAATAATCGTAATCGCTAGCGCTAAAGTACTAAACCATAGAAGTAGAACTACGGAATTGCCACACGACACCACGCTTCATAATAATGCTAACTAATCCATGTTTAATTAATAAATAAATTAATTATGCAGTTGCTGTATGTGTGCATCATCATGGATGTACGTCTCATGTTATATTATTACATGTCATGGCCATGGCTATGCCCATATCTTCTCAGTTGTCATTGTCACATTCTCTGTTTTTCGTCAGGTCATACATTTCAATTTCAACTATGATATTTCCTTTCTTTTTTTTTTCTCTCTTCATAAATCGCGATTCGACGCTTCGCTGCATTAAACCGTCAACTGAGATTACCTTGTTCTGAAATTTTAAAACATATCCATCCTTATATTGAAAATTACAAGTTTTCTCTCTACAAGTTGATAAATTTTATTTTATTTATAAGAATGAATGATATAAATTGATATGAAAATAAAATTTTTATTTTTAATAATTTTAATAAAAAATTATATGAGATATAATTTTAAAAATTGCCCAGATTAATTTTATAATATAAAAATATAATAAATAAAAAACTTATCAAATTCTTAAAACATGCTTCTAAACTTAATCGAGAGTTTAACCATACTCGTATAGCAACAAACTATATTAAAGTTGCATTTAAATAATAACTTGTTTAATTTTTTAAAAATAAATTATTATGATAAATTATATAAAAAATTATTCAAATAAATTTAAAATAACTTATGAAAATCATAAATTATGTTTCATAAATCTTAGACAACATTATATAACAATAATATTAAACAACTTGTTTATCAAAAAGTATAACAAAATAATAAAATATTTAAATCAAACAGAAAGAAACAAAAAGTAAAAAAATAACAACTCTAAATATTTTAGGCTATTTTTACTCCAAAATTTATCTGCTACCTCATTTTTTTTATGTTGTGTGAGCTTTTTTTATAACACTTCAAAATGCATTTATTTCACAAGTTGTTTATAAGTTGTTTTATATAGGTATTAAATAATTATAAAATAATAATATTAAACAACTTATTTATCAAAAAGTTGAATAAAATAATAAAATATCTAAACCAAATAATAAATAAATAACAACTCTAAATATTTGAGATTACATTTACTCCGAAATTTGACTACTACCTCATTTTTTTGCTATGTTGTGTAGTTCTTTTTTCTTTTTATAACACTTCAAAATACATTAATAATATTAACAGTGTAATAAATTTTTATATTATTATTTTACAAAAAAATATTATATAGTAAAAAATTATTAATTTTTATAATAATTACTTCATATATATAATATTCATCTTCAATTATTATTTTTATCATTGAATTTTTTTTAATTTAACCCAGTTATATTTAATTTGAGACTTCAGATTAAACTGAAAAAAATCCCAGCCAATTGATCTACCTATTTGGTGGTATAATTATTTTAATTTAGTTCATATTAAATTAAAATTTTAAAAACGATACATCTTATAAAATTTGAAGAGTTAGATTTAATATTGTGTAAATATAAATTAGAGTTTACGATTAACTTAATTAAAAAACAAAAGTAAAGTAAAAAAAAATTATATAATGATTGAATGACCTCACGTTAATTAATCAACGTATTTAGTTGTTAATTTACAACACAGTACAATAGATCATATTTAACATTAAATTTTTAGAATAAATCTCGTAGGTTTTTTTTGTAATTATATATTTTGTAATATCATTAAAATTAATTTTAAATTTCGTATGATGTAACTTTAGTATGCACATCAAATTAAAAAATATCCAAGCAATCAGCTATTAAAGGATCACTGCCAGTCAAAAGGTCAACATTGGGAACACGTGTCAGGTGATGCATCCATAGACTTCTTTATGTCAAGTTTGAAGTGTAACAATCGCTACAAGAAAACTTGGTTATACTTCGTCGGACCGATGGTCATGTATGGATGCATCATCCGTGCATGTTCGTTCCATTGTATCTCAAAACAATTTTGTTGCCAATGTGGTCCTAAAAAGTGTAATGCTATTATTGTATTATTTTTCATATACACACCAAAAAAATTTAAAATTTAAAATAACAAAAAATGTCACAAAAAGAGCACAAAAAGGTTTGGAATGGCACGTGTTTTCCTCTTCGGTTCCTTTTCGAATGGAAATGAAAAGTGCGTTGGCTTGGCTCTACCAGTGATCGAGATTAATAAAGAGCACTAGCAAAAAGCTTAGCGGGAAATACGATTTTTAATTTGATTTAACTGAACAAAGTTAGGGGCAGTTATCATTCGCTTTGCTTAACCTAATCTCCCTTGCATTTATCGTAAAAAGTTTTTTTCTCTCTTTTTTCCCCTAATAGAACACTACAAAAGTGCGCGATTTCTGTATGTACCTATTGGTACGAAGAAATTTGTAAACTGCTTAGTTGAAATTCGTAAACCAAAAATGTTACATCCAGCGTCCTTTAACTATTAATCTTACTTGTAATTAAAATTAGTCTCGAACTAACAATCTTAAATCGTTAATTAATTAAAGTGCAGTCTATCATGGGTTAGCTCTTAAATAATACACGAGTGTATCAGTATATTTTAACCATAGGATATAGTGATACAAATCAATGAACGGTTGAGATTTATTATTGGTACTTGATAATATCTGTTGTAAAATTCGATACGTGGTCCTTAAATGAATTTCTTTAAAAACCTAAACATTGCCACGGAAGAACTGTTCATGACAGTAAAATTTGATGACAGAACCCTTCTCCAATTATTGCCAATCACCAAGTTCCTCACCCTTGTCATATTTTTATTAATATCAACTAAGAATTTGATCTCATGAACACCACCACCCATGATCATCTTGGTTAATTTCAACAGCCTCAATTAGCTAGTAATACATAGCTAATAATCAACGACGAGGGTTTTGTTATTTGGATTTGGCAGAGAGGTAATGCTCATTATTTTCCTTTTCTTGTCTTTGCGTCACATATTACATTTTTATTCATCTTTTTTATGAATATGATTTCACTTCTCTTCTGGATCATCAATTTGGCATTTTCAACCAACATCTATTATCAAAACCTGCACATTCTCTTCATGATAAAACAAGAAGGAACAAGAGAGTGCAATTAGATGAAAACGACAAGGCCTCCTAATACCACTCTAACGAGCCTCTCCTTCTTGCAGAACCTATGAAGATTAATTTACTACTCGTCCTTGATGATGTTAAGTATATAATTTAGAGCTTAATGTTATCGATGCGGAAGTTAATCACAGTGAAACTAAACTCTTTCTTGTAGATTTGTAATAAAAATGTTAATAGGAAGTGACACTAGGATTCGAATAGATAAGAGCAGAGAGGAGGAGCTAGAGACTCTTTGGTTTTTTCCATGATTTGATGAACCTTTGCAAAAGGGATTCTTCTTTTCTAGGATCAGCTTTGCTCTTGAAGCGGGTTTTCTCTCAATTATCGCTTACGATGACGATGACTTCACGTCTTCGACTGATTTGAAGAAGCGCATCAAATTTAGGTAACGGGGTTAACTTGCTAACCCTGTTATTGGTGGCTTATCTCAGCCATTCATTTTATTTATTATGACCTTCCATGCCATTGGGACACTGAAAGTCTGTCAATCTCTATCACAACTTCACAACAACAAAAATTAAATAAACAGGCTACAAGACTTTCAACGACGTGACAAATGGATAAAGAATATTGAGATTAATAGTAAATTAACCTAATATTTTTTCCATCTAGAATGAGTACAAAATAAAAACAAAAATATTAGTCTAGTTCTATCATCAAATTATAAAAATAATTCTAAAATATTTAAAAAATACAAACACTAAAATGGAGTTAACAAATAAAATACTAAAATAAATAATATTAACAATTTAAATTGAAACCTACCAATGAACCTGACTCACTGCATATTAATCCATATAGTTAATGAATAGGGTGAGTCTTGTTAAAAAAAAAAACTCATTTTTTTAACGATTTAACTCATGTAAAAATCACTGAAAATCTTGAATTGGATAACTAATTAAGACTATTGCTGTAGAGATATAGTAGTTTTACAACAAATGAGAAACAATTAAACAATGCTGAAAACTCTTTTCAATAATAATGACATTGTTTGAATCACTGTTGACACGGACTATGGTCAATAATGCTATTAATCATCACACCCAATGCTAACAGTAATTTACGTCCATTGTAATTATCTACAGTAACTTTTGTCTTCATCGTACCCATGTTTCCACTTAGCATTTGCTTGATCGGACACCTATTATAATATATATACATATATATATATATATATAAACTACAAAGTTCTATTGATGCTGGTACACAATAGTTTTAGTGGGTTCATGAGATAGATAAATATCATTACATCTTTATTGATTTTTCATCATTGTAATTATGTTTTTTTAATGTTTATAAATAATGTATATATGCGAGCACTTCATGTGTTAGGTTTTCATAATTTTTTTTTTATTTAATTGTATAACTGTAAGAGTTGAGCTTCTTCAAAGTAAAAAAAAAGATTTTATATATTTTTATTTAAATTAAAACATTTTATAAATATAATTAACTTGAAGTTAATAATAAATAATTTTTTATTTTATAATATTTTTATTTAAAAATGATAGTCCAGTCTTATTATATATAATTTTTTATTGTGGTTGAAAAATATTTTTTTTTATTATAATTTGATAGATTTCACAAAATTTAGTTAAATATGAAAAGATTAAACCATCAAATTAGTCATCAAATATATATTTCAGTTTCTAAATTTTTTAAAAATTTGTTAATTTTTTACTTTATAAAAATTCATTTATTTATTTTTTTATTATTTTATTCTAAAAATAATAAAAATGAATGTTAGTTTTAAGAGCCAAAATATTTTTTTATTTTTAAAAAATAGAATGCATAACTTATAAAATGTCAAAAAAAAAATTTAAAAGTTTACTTTATAAAAAAATATTAGAGTAAAAAAAATGGTCAAAAGGTAAACTAAATAATATAGGCATTAGACTGTTTTTGAGTGACAACAGTAACTAATTTCATGTTGTTTTCCATAACTTTAGTGATGCGTCATTTTCATTGCCTAGAGAAAATAGTGACAAGTCCTTT